ATCCAAACACCGCTGGCAGTGCCTGTCAATGTTTCAGCGTCAGGTTAGTCCTCGGAATACTGTACGCAGTCCGCACGCCACCCGTTCCAAAAAATACTGGAAGGATCCCGACGATCGCAATATGAATAGGCGGTCAATAATGGTGAAGCTGAAATGTGTGGTGCAGGTGGAGCGTCACTATGCTCCATATCGCGGACGGTGGGAAAGGACCCAATGCAATGCATTGGACAAGTTCAAACGAAGAGTAGGTAGGAACCGTCGAATGCATGGTATTGTCAACTCAGATATCTCATAGGGCAATGGTGTCTCCCGACGTTATGCATTATGAGGTCTTCAACTATATATGGATACATAGCGCTCTCCTTGGAGGTGAGCTGCTGTGTAAATACGATTCAGATCAATGGCCTAGGGGCGTAGCGCTTAGCTCTGGCATAATCATATTTTTTCTGCATTCGATCGCTGAATATCTTTGGTAAGCTTTGTGGCTGGTATACATAAGTATGTACTCGAAAAAGCTCTACCAAAAAATACTAAATATGGTTGCCATTTGAACGTCTCAAATCGAGAACACATTATCGGCTAACGTGCATCATATCAACCTGTGCACCTACATTTTTTCTATGTGGGTGATGAACACAATAGTATATGGAATGGCGTGCACCATTTTTTTATTTCGAGCAAATCAAGATCGCTCTGCCATCAGTGACAAATGTTGAGTCATATGGCTGCTGTTTCGGGCAGTTGACTACGTGACCCAGTTTTCTATCTTGGCCGCATACGGCTGCCCACGTTCATCCGTTCCATTTGAAGGCAGCCCCTCGTTTCTTGTATTTCTCATGGCGTCGACGTTCCCGGAAAAAAGTTTCGTCATCCACCCACCTTCCTCTGCAGGCGCGGACTCCGCGCCTGTCAGTTCAGGCTGGTCTTTCTTCTCCCCGTTTGCCCCCGTCGTCGACGCCTACGACCGTCTTTCTCAATGGCGGGCAGACCTCGGGCTTCCCAGTCCCGGTACTGTTGAGAATCTTCAGCGAGAAATCAAAAGTATGCTGCTTGCTTTGCCATTGGGAAGTAACAGTGATAACTGACGCGCGCGTGTACAGCCACCCTGCTGAACAACTCAGTCTTCGATGGCGCGCGCGCCGACCTCACGAAAAACTTGTCCATGAATCCCCTTTTCCAAGTTACGCACTCGCTGTCGCTCGGTTCGCAAGCCGTCCCTCCATCGTACAGCTTTATGTCTGTATATTCAACTGACAAGGTGTGCGGATACGAATGTTTTAGTTGTGCTCCTGTGCAGCAGATAATTGAGGTTGCGGGTAGGTCTTCATGCAGGGTGGGTTGGATCATGAAGGAAGCTTCAATATGCGGTTGCATAACGCATGGACGCCTGCCCTCATTTCAAAAGTGCAAGCACAATTCTCGGCAAATGCAGGCAATGGTATCATTTTCGAGCAGGACTACCAAGGACGTGATTACTCGGTCAATTTGAAGGCCATTAACCCATGGCCATTGGACCTCACGGGCGTATACGTCGGCAGCTACTTTCAGTCGTTAAACAAAAATATTGCGCTCGGCTTGGAGACGGTCTGCCAGCGTTTGACGCCAATGAATACCGACTTCACGACGTCCTACCTAGCTCGGTATACATCAACAGACAAGAACTGGATTGCGACCGCACTCACACAAGTCGGCATATTGCAAGCGACATACTGGCAACGCCTTAGTGAGAAGGTAGAGGTCGCCGCCGAGCTCACGCTGCAGTCCTTCCCCGGGCGACCGCGGGAAGCATCAGCACAGGTCGGTGCAAAATATGAAATGCGGATGGCGACGTTTCGCGCGCAACTTGATTCCGGGGGTAAAGTGTCAACGTTCCTCGAGCAGCGCATTACACCCGCCTTCCAGTTTATGCTGTCGGGTGAAATCGACCATTTCAAAGTAAGCGATACTCCTTTTGATGTCCTTGTTACTGTGACGAATAGTGGCTGATCTCGATGTAGAATGCTGCCAAATTTGGTTTCGGCGTCATGCTCGAGAGCAGTGACCTAACACCAGAGGAGATGGGCATGCCACCGCAACCTACGCTATAATATACATATCCTAGAAGTTTTATTTAATACGATGCGTCACGCTCTGCTCATGAATGTGTAAGGTTTTTTTTCGGTCTCTCACATAATATCGAAGGGCAGGTATAAGGAGAAGTACACGCGACGTGGGTGTACATGTAACTTTAAGTGCCTTTGTCCAGCCCGGTGGGCGCAAACTCTCTAATATAATGTACATACAGTGGCCACCAAGATACCGGCATGCAACTCGGAGTAATGAGTACCGTACGCATTGCAATGTATGATACAAGTGTGCAATGTCTAAAACATGTATACGTTATGGACCAGACCTTTCTGCCTTGAACTTCGACACTCGTTTTTTTTGGACAGGTGCAGCGGAATCGTCCCCTGTCGTTGACGGCACAACCCGCGGTGGTCGCTCTAGTCTTCGCGATCGGCTTGAAGGGAATGATGGCGATTCGACAACCATTGAGGGGAAGGATGGGTGCTCCACTGTCGAAGACGGGAACGAAGGTGATTCTACAACACTCGATGGGAATGATGGAGACTCGACAATTGTGGATGAAGAAGTCGCGCCATGAGATTGTGCTGTGGGTCCTGGCTGTGTAAACATACCATTATTGGACACTGGAAGAGGTGCACGTGGGTTCCGCCGTTCCACGACACTGGTGCTCATGGCAGGCCGCGCATCTACAGACGCAGGACGCAAGGTGGTGACATCCGAGCTCTCGGCAGACTCTTTGGGCGATGATCGCCCAGTTGTTGTAACGGGTGTGCGTAGTGGCGTTTGGGATGATGAACGCTGTCCCTCCTGCTGCGACATTGAGTTCCTCGCCGGGGGTAGACTGGCTTTGAATCTCGACGTCTTCGATCGATTCAGCGGCGGATGCAGCTTTGACGGGCCTGCCTGCGCTGAAGCAGCAGCAGTGTCGACAGATGACGGAGTAGCAGATGTTTGTGAGGTTGGCGGCGGGACAGTATAGACGCCGGCAGGTCCCATGTTATAGACTTCGCCACGCTTGAGCAGTTCCATAAATTTACGCGCCGACTCTTCCTCATCCTCACTAGCACTGGCGTCTTCCCCGCCGACGAGATTGCCATAATCATCGAGCTTGCCTGTGCGGATGGCGTCCCGTAATATCCGTGTAGGGGCGTCAGGGTCGACGTGTTGCGGCTGGGATACCGACGGTCGCGCTGACGGGGAGGCCACAGAGGTGTGCGACGTCGGTGTGTCCCCAAGGTTGAAAGCTTTTGCCATCTGATCAGCTTTGAAGCGCGACACCGCCGACTTCGGATGGTGCAAAAAGGACGGGTTTACTTCGACATCCTGATATCGTCAAACAGTTGGAAAGATATAAAATTCAAGTAATGGTTACTTACATGTTCCTCTGCATTATTTGAATGCTGTTCCTGCAGATCAGCGAATGTATCGCGTCCGAAAGTCGCCCGTTTCTCATAGTACTCGAGCGCAATTTCGCGCTGCTGATGGACAAAATCCATATCGTATTCACCCTCTGAAGAATCATCTGATTCAATAGCTTCAGAGCCTTTTTGGTCTGCGTCCACATCCGTATCAGAAGAACCCGCAGAAAGTGCGGGGGCAGCCTCGGGCTCAGACTCATCGTCCGAGTCTGCCTCAACGCCTGGCTGAGCAGAGGCTATCGGCTGACCGCGCGGCAAACGCTCGACAACCTGCATTTTCATGGGCCACCGCGCAGCCTGCTCCCTCGATAATACCGTCTGCCGGGCTGGCGCACGTAAGCGCCCGGGCTTCACATCGCCCCATTCCTGTTTCGAAAGGGTGGCCGCGGCTTTCGTATCGTCAGCAAAACTTACACTTTTCTTCGCAGTTGATGTTTTATTTTCTGGAGAAGCCAGGGCAGACGAGGGGGCTGGTGGTGTAGAAAACGCCGCTGGTTCGGGTTGCGTTGAAAGAGATGAAGGAATTTTGGAGTCTGATTCGCTCGCCTTCAACGAACTATCTCGCAACAAGCCTTTGCCCATCTTTTTGTACATGTCTTTGGACGCCTTGAGCGCTTCGAGTTCACTTTTGACGGCCTCCCTGCGTTTGCGCAGAGACTCTTCTCGCTCTTGTTCTTCACGACGGGCACTTTCCAACAGCTCCACGCGCTCTTCCTCCTCCAGCCGATCAAAGAGGCGATCCAGCTGTTCCTGAGTCCTCCGTTTCGTTTCTTCGTCATCGGGAGGCGCAGATACGGGAAGCAAGTCAGCTGTGGCGCGAGAGACTACTGGACCAGAAGGGGTTGCTGTCGACGTCTGCTCTGTGATCTCGACAATCGGCAGACCCTCTTCATTCAGTAACTAAAAAAGACGCCATTTGTAAAAAAAATCAACAATGGTGCACTCATTATACGTACGTCAGATTCACGAACATCTGGCGAAGGTTTGGCATCAGGTCCCGCTATCTCTTCAATTTTCTGGGCCAGCCTCTCGACGGCTGCTGAGGTGAGACGCGGGGGATCCTGTGCATCTTGCGGGGCAATGGAGTTCAGTAGAGCCTGTAGGGCTGAAGTAAGACGGGAGTAAGTGGAGAGCTGAATGTGTAGATTGACAGTAGCGACCTTCAGCGCCCCCTGTGTTCAAGTCGCGAATGTTGTCGCCATTAGGAAGAGTAGACATACTGATGGATGCAACTGATGCAGCGGATTACATTCGCAAGAGAAACTGGGTGTTGAGGTGAGAAAGATAACCTCATGATCATGACGCGGAAAAGGAAAACATCGAATAACGACTTATGTACGTGAAATATTGACCAGCTGTCGTTACCCATTATAATTCACATAAGCATCACCGCGGGGGCATCGTCCCCGCAAATAGGCGGTTTACCGACGCCGGCTAAGGGACGGGCAAAGGTTGTGTCGCGAAGGCCAGTAGCCTTGAGCGCTACTAAAAAGATTTATCTACGAATTGCCGTAGTGTCCCAGGGAGGATTCGAACTTCCGGCTTCTCGGTTCGTGATATAACCACAACGAGATGATTTAACCACTAATCGACAGGGACCTACTATACGTATCGCTAGGTCTATACTATATGTATCAATGCCTAAAATAAACAGCTTGAACGCTCTCGAGAAACCTCTGGATATCCATTTTATTTTCTTCTCGCTTGACTGTTATTTCTGGAGCGAACATGCATTCCAACGCGCGAGCCTAGCTATATGTTGCTGTACAGGGGGACCATCAATTCATTGAGTCAACGCACTTTCTTCTCCCTGCCGTGATGTGGAGTTGTTCGAAGACATGATACCGTTGCCAATGCCGCTGTTCAATTTTTTTCAGCGCTTTCCTTTAGTAACTTACGCTCCCTTGAGACCGCCAGAAAATCTCACAAGTGCACCTTCTTTGCCCACTCTATGGATCCGTCCACCTCCACCCACTTCTTGGACCAGGTCACCCTCACCGCCAGACCTTCTGAGCGCGGACGTCGAATGCCTCAAATGGCAGGCATATCTCAGTCTCCAGAACTCTCGTTCCGACGTCAAAGTTGCAGTTTCGTGGGACATACCGCCTGAAGGTGCTCTGGACGGTCGACTCCCGAATCTGCATCTCCCGTCTGGTAAACTACTGCCTGCACCGCTCATTCCTTCATTTGTGGAAGAACAGGCGAATCAGAGCTCGCCAGACGATCTCGAAGGTTATATCAACGTTGATGCGCGGAATGAGAGTCGCGCATGGGTGTCGTTGCTCGAAGGCGTGGTGCACGCCACATTGGTGTGTCGCGCCCTATGCGAGCGGACATGAGCTCAACCACGGAATACAGATTGCTTTCAAGGCGCATTCGACATTTGACGTCTTCAGCTCAGATCGAAGCCAGCGACCTGGGCGACAGCTAGCAGCAATTTTGCCTGCCCCCACGCCGATGCCATATTTCGCTTACCCGCTAGCCATCCACTTCGCTCTCCCTTGGTCGGACTCCCCAACAAAAGAGTACAAGGACAACCTATTCACGCAATACGTCTCGGCCATCACTGCGCTTTCCGATCGGCTTGGGACGGACAGGTGGTTTTTGGGGTCTGAGTGAGTGTTGCTTGCTTCTGTGCACGAGACTACGTTCATGCTTTTCTGCGTCAAGGGATCCCACGCCGCTAGATGCCCTCGTATTTGCGTATCTTCATTGCATTCTCTGTTCATCCACCGATCTGGAGACAGAAGATGTGCGGGTTGAAGTTACCAAGCGTGTTAATTTGGTTGCATGGGAATGGAGAGTTAGAGGCCTGGTTAGGGCTGGCTTTGTTGCAACGGACGCTCCTCATACATAGACCTCTCGTGAGACTGTTGTGTATTGATGTAATGAAATCAAGATATCATTCATTGAAAATCTGCGATTTTTTATAAGTTCTGAGTTGTATTGATTATAATTGAAGTGCGAAGCGCGTCCGCTCGTCATGTGACAGCGCGAACCTTCCCATTTTGGATCCGTCCTCTCTCCTTAGTCCTCGTCAGTGACAGACAGACTTATTCGACGACACTGACGGACATTTGGACTGCTGTCTGGCTGTAGCATTTGCACTTGTTTATCTGTCTCTAGTCGTTTCTGTTTCATTTGGGTGCTCGGCCACCTTCTGTTAGTACTTCGCGGTACATTGCGTACGCTGATCGAATAGTCGGAATTATCTGCGGTCGCTGCGGACAACATCACGTATCCAGTAAACTTGTGCCGACTTTAGATTTTGTATCGCACTCTACACCTGTAGTGGAGCGAGCTCTTCGCGTTGGACGACACGATTCATGTCCGACAGTTCATCCGTTTCGCCATCTGTCACTGGCACCTCTACGCCTGGTGAACTCCCCGAGCGCATACCAGGCCCATCCGCTGCAAAACGCTTTCGCTTTCACTTCGATGCATCGTCCAGACGCGCCCCAGAAAGCACCACTGGCACGACTGAGAATGGAGCCGCGGACGACTTCCCGACCGGACACAGTTTCGCGCAGAGCTGGGGTCTCAATGGCAGCTCACTCAATCTTGCCATTCCTAGCGAGTGGAGTAGTAGCACTCAGGGTTTCAACGGTATGCTATCTATTTTCACGCGGTGTCCAGGTCTGACAGGGAAGGTGACGGATAATACAATATAGCAATATCGACTGTGCTGAACAATCCGCACAAGCGGCAGGCGCCGCCCAAGCCACATTCTACGCTCCCGGCAGTCCCTCCCGCAGACCTGCCCCGCGTGAGGCGGAAGGACTTTGACTCCTATTTGAGAGCCGTGGGGGATGAATGGGAAAAGTTCGACAAGGCCAAGAAAGTGGCCAACGAATCTGACGAGATCGGCGGACTGGACAGCGACTATGTCGATAAAGAGGAGGGACCGTCGACACCTCGGGCAGCATCTTTCAGACCAGGCAAGAATATGCCGTCACTTGACCAAGTGCCGAGTGTGTTTTTCCAACCCAACTTCGATCTGAGTGACCCCAAAATATGGGACCTTGTCACCCAGCAAGACGTGCAGGCAGACGCGATGCCTTTGCGCTCTTTGCCTCTTCTGGAGAAGTTCTCTCACTATGCTGACATCGTCGAGCAACACTTAGCTCACGAAATCACCCTCCGCTCACCATCATTCTTTGCTGCGCTATCCAATCTGAACTCCCTGCAAAGTGAATCGGAATCTTGCTTGAAGAGAGTACAGTCGCTGCGCCGTCGATTAAAGCAGGTCGACGAGGGATCGCAGAAAGGTCTCTTCATCGTTGAGAAAGCGAAGCACCTAGAGCGGATGTCGGAAGCAATGCGAGAGGTCGAGCGGGTGAAGAGTATTGCGGAAGTGATGAGGGTGGGTCGTAGTCTTGCGACCGAGAGCATGTGGAGTGATGCACTCGGCGTCGTAACGGAGTTGGAGGAAATGTGGGAAGGACATGCGGCGCCTCCACCCGAGGATGTGCCGCCCAGGCCAAACGGTCACGGCCGTCTTTCACCACTGCCTCCCACGCGCGAGGAAGACGAAGAGTCCTCCGAAAGTCGACCAGACAATTCACTTCTTACACTCTTCAAGTCCCCTAGACCCCCATCCACACATGTAACTCCCAACGGTGTGCCACTGTCGCAATTACAAGCTTTTGCACAGCTGCCTGAACACCTTCGCGAGCTGACCGTGCAAGTCGCACGCGAGTTATCCAAAGAGCTCGTCGCTGTCCTCACTTCGGATCTTGGTGACCGTATCAACCAGGTACCCAAGGTCGATGGGCCTACGACCTCGCAGGATGCACCCGAGCACGTTGATGCGCGAGAGGAACAACTGCAGGACCGACTTCGCCCGCTTCTGCAATCACTTGTAAAGACAAGGGGCATCAAGGATGCATTGACTGGGTTGTGGAGAACTGAGGTCACTGGTGTGGCTCGGAGTGCCCTTGCGGTTGTGAGTGTCCCGTTCTTCTTGGCGGTAAGCACTGAATGACAAGTCCCATTTACAGCTATTGCCTGTCGGTTCTCTGGAAGACGCGGAGAGCAATCAGCCGGACAATCCGTGAGTTTTGTGTGTCTATGCCAATGGAATCCATTGATTTCGTGTATCCGGTACAGATTATCGAAACATATGCATAGCATGTCGCATTCGGACTTTATGCCCTTTCTGCGGACAATGTATGCTAGCATGCTTCGTGCGATTGAGGGTGTCCGAGACCAGGGGACCATTATTGTAGATGTTCTTCAACATCTCGGAGAGTTGTCGAAAGGGTTTGTCTCCACCCCTTTTTTTGCGTGTTTTTCTGGCTCATGTTCTGAAAAAGTGTTCCCTTCGACCAACTACAACGCGAGCTGTCGGATATATTGTGTACCTTTGCCGAGAGTGTGAATGGTCTTTGCGGGCGAATATTGGCATGCCGGTCGGAGCAACATGCGCAGCTGACCATGACAGAGTTCGTTGAACTCGACGACGATACATGGGGCTTTGTGTTGAGCTCGGAGACCGTCAGTGGCAGAATGATCGTAGGCCTCAGGAGCGTCATCGCGTCTCAGGTTGGTTTGGCTAATTATTTCCTTAGCTTTACAACAGTTGATCTCCATTTGTAGGGCAAAGCCTTCTTGCAGGCCTACCATCAAGTTAGGTTGACTCAGTCGGCAAAACTAGTCGAAGACGAGCAGTGGAGTCCCGTCGAAGTTCCCGAAGACCTGCAACGGCTTATCAACATCATGGTTGACTCTGTGGTGACCGATTCACCGACATGGGCGGTTCGCAACACCGCCGTCTCGCATTCTGCCCCGCAAACGAATGGATTCATGTCTGCGATTACATCCATGGCCACACGGCAAAACGGCACGCGCGAAAAGTTGCTATACATCGACTCTCAGTCTTTCTGGACAGTCTCCGCAACGTCGGCCGTGTTGTATCTCGTGGCGGATTACCTGAAAGTCATTGTCAACCTGCCCAAGCTGACGACCGAAACGATGTCGCGCGTCATCGAGTTTTTGAAGGCGTTCAACTCACGAACTTGCCAGGTCGTGCTTGGCGCAGGGGCGATGCGGAGTGCAGGCCTCAAAAATATCACGGCGAAGCACCTGGCACTTGCGTCGCAAAGTCTCAGTATCATGATTTCCCTCATCCCGTATGTACGCGAGACTTTCAGGCGACATTTGAGGCAGACACAAGTGGTTATCTTGGTGGAGTTTGACAAGTTGAAGCGAGTGAGTTTTCTAATCCGTTTCAAAATAGAAAGCAGGTGATGGGCAGTTTTCTGATTCGCGGCGTCTGCAGGACTATCAAGAACACCAACATGAGGTCCACCAGAAACTCATCGCAATCATGAATGACCGTCTCAGCTTTCACGTCAAGACTCTGCGAGTATGTACTTGGTTTCTGTCTTGATCAAGTTCTGTTTTGATTCGTACTGCAGGCAATCAATTGGGAAGTGCCCACGAAGGATCCGGTCAATTCGTACATGTCGCTCTTGGTCAAGGAGACAACGACATTGCACAAGGTCCTCTCCAAATATCTTCCCGGGCCTGTTGTTGAGGTGAGCTCATCTGAAGTACACATACAGTGTCCTTTGACGATCCAAATTGCTTTTCAGTAC